ATAACCGCCCGAGCGCCACCCACACCCCAAACCCCACTGCACAAATGCACCGATAACGTCAACGTCAACGTCGGTCAAAGCGTGTTTCAACTCTTAACCAACAAAAACAGAAACAGAAACGAAACAAAAACTTTAGCGTAAAAATTTCTATACACTTGAATGAAAAAATGAAAAAATGAAAAACTGAAAAAAAGACACGCAAAGGAAAAACAAAAACAAAAATTGGTCTATGTAGGTTATTGTTGTTGTCATTTTAGCTGGCATTGCTGCTGCTTACCCTAAACAAAAAAGCAACAACAAAAATCGAAAAAAAAACATTACCACAGTATAAATTTCGTTACTTGATAAAAGCATTTAAATCCAAACGAAATGTTTATTGTTATTTTTTTTTTTCTAATTTTTATATGATTTCTTTTTCATTTTTCTTTTTTTTTTTTGCATCAATTTCGCAATATGCACATTTCTGTTATTATAGAGCTTTTTATTATGTGCGAATTCTGAAAGTAGAACACATTTTTTGAAGAGGCGGCGGGGTAATACGATAATTTAAACCATACAGTGCGGAAATTTTATTTTAAATAAAATTTTATTTTAAATATTAAATACAATATTTTAAAGGAATACGTGAAATAATCTAGGTGCCCGAAAAATATTCCTATGATTCCAAAGCTCTTCGAACGGGGTGCTTCAAGTAATCACTTGGAACAGCTAAAAAAACATGGGCATATCGTTAAAATCATGTAAACATTTGAATGGTTTATAGGCATCTGTATGCAAGTAAACATACTCCGTACAGATATCAGTCTTATAGCAAGTTTGCTGAACGGTCACAACCGATTAGGAAACCATGCTAAATGATTAAATCTGTTTTTTAATCATTCCTTCCGCAGTTATGGAGAGAACGATGAAAGTACATTATATCTCCTTTATTACTGCCCAACGTCGATTACCTGTACTAAGGACTTTCGCTTTTTATGATCTTGTTCAGCTCCAAAACTTCTCTCTACAGTGTATTATGGAAACTGACAAAGGATCAAGGAAGTTTTCAAGCCTCTGAGTTTCCTATACGGTAAAACAATTGGCCAATAGGCCTAAATGGATTCTTAGAATATATAATCGCCAATTTATGACCAAACTAACCTAACTTTAAATTATTACCTCGAAAATGATTTGGGTGAAGTTATGGATACATTAAATTATAAACTTGTGTGAAATATATAATCTTAAGGTTTTCTGATTTCGTAACTTGATATACATGACGTTTTATTAATATCAACCAATCCGTATTACCTATCATACAATGTCTTAAAATCGTAACTTGATTATAAAACTCATTAGTGGTTAGTTTAGAAAATGATTACTTTCAAAGGGTATGTTCAAAACATGCTGTTAAATGCTCTCGACGCCTAGAGTTAGTGCGGAAATAATCAAAGCAATTTAGGATTTCATTTCTAATGACTACAAATTAAAGTTTAGAGGAATAGTTAATTCTTTAAAGTAACCTGCTTTGCATTTAATCTTAATACGTATTCCAAGGTGGACCGTTTGTACTCGTATTGGAGTAATAACGTAAAAGTAATTCCGAGCCGTATTTGAAACAATTTCAAGGCAATAAAAATGTTTTTTTTTTCAATATATGATAAAAAATTATCATCAGTGTCATATTGTATCATATCAACTACGTCGATAGACAAATCCTAGCGGTAAGATCTCTTCTAACTATGTTCTGGAATGAGCACGGTATTTTATATAACCATTCTAAAGCGAAAAAACATTTGTAACAGAAATATAATGACCCTTGAGTAGTTATAAAATATAAGGATCAGATGCAGTCTAGCATAAAGTTATAATGCCATGGGACACATTCAGGAATGTAAATACAACTAGCATAGCTCGTAAAGAGTTGAAAAGAGTAGTAAACTAAGAGTACAATTACACAGATTCCTTTATATTATATATTTATTATGATTAATAAAGAAAGAATTGTGGATTAATGGAGTAACTCTCATCTCATTTAATCTACACTGGAATAACCTGGGGAAACTACTCCGCTTTTATTGTCCAACTCTTTTTTTCAAAGTATGACAAATATGAGATATTGCTAAATCTTTCCTAAATCAATTAAATTTTTCTTAACAAAGCTAAATAATGACATAACAAGATACTCTAATTTTGATTTACTTAGTAATGGACTCAATAGAACAGCTTTGGTAAAACTGATGGGGTCTACCTTTATCAAGTTTCTTGCAATCGAGGAAGTTTGCATATCTGCCTAAGATTAATAATTCGAATTTTTGTCATAAGACTAAAATTAATGATTTCAATTGCTTTAATCCACATTTAAGAAAATAGAGCTAGAAGAAAAAGAATATTGAATAAACAAAGCCGCAGCAATCTATAAACAATTGTATGAGTTCCTGTAAAAGGTACAAGTACATGCTGTTAAGAACAAAGAAAAAATCTATGAATATTTATAAGTATTCCTACATCTCTAACAAAAGCAGATGTAATAATAGTTTAACAATTATCTGTAACCATTAAAATTAGTAATTAGCTTAATCTCTCCGGGTATGCATAGCTCGATAGGAAACTGTACGTTATATTAAGTGCAAAATACTTTAATAGTAGACTTTACTAGTGGTAATAAGCTTTACTAGACCATAGAAAATAATAAAAATATTGATTATACCTTAAGGAGTTATATTATATCATCATATCTTAAGAACAAAATAGCTTATATAGGAATGAAAGAAAAAGTAATTGTTATAAAACCCAAAAATAATTTAAAAAGAAATTGCAAGAATTTCTTAAACATCAATTTAATAGATAAGTTTTTAGAAAAATAACATATAAGATCAGCAATAGATTCTTATCACGAAGGGAATTATTACTCTTATTAAAAAAAGAGTAAGATGCCATAATAACATTTCACCGAGAACTATTCGTTTGATCCGATCTCTGAAGTGCCCTGTTTCTGACGTCAAATTGATCTCAAGGGAGGGTTGTTAAAATGGCTTACAATAGTTTTTCAAAGAAAAACCCGGGATTCTACAATATGAACATAGTTTTATCCAAAAAATACGAAAAGGTGATTAGTAAAAAAATTGTAATTAACTAGTACATCAAGTAACGTTTCGGATTGAGTTTTCCAGATATTGGGCCTTAAAAGTGTTAACTTTCAACTTTGATTATATAATTAATAACCATCACTACTTCTAGTTATTGATTGTGCTTGTCATGTAAAAAGATGCAACTTTTAATTTTAATACTTAAAGAACTCAGCTGTACCAGCATTAACCCACATATAATATGGAAGCTGAATAGCGTAACGAACCAGAGCTATAAAAAATATTATAATACACAAAATATTACAATAATTAATTAACAATATAATAATTTATATAAACATATGTATTCAGCATATAAACAGTTTCAAATAAACAACAAAGCTGTACCGCCAAATATGTCTTACGTAATCAATTAAAACAGATCTACACCCTATATGGACAGCGTACGTAAGTATATCTATAGCTTAACGATTCAAAATGTACTTTCTAAAAATCAGGGATCGACTAATAGAGTTCGAACAAGAACAATATTTAAGTTGATAAATAACAATCTAGTCTTCCAAAACTATATATCACAAAAGGTCCGCTATTTGAATTTTTAATCAGCCGTGTTTGGCTGTCACTGATATCTCCTTCTTTATTAGATTGATTAATATGGTAGAATAATTTTTGTCTGAAGCAACTGCATATATTTAGCAACCAGTGTATTTTAATATTATCTATTCAACAAGCTTCATTTTTTGGGTTTTAAATCAGTAGTATCTAATTTAACCAATCTCTCATCGATATCTTTCATCGACAATCGATGCACATTTTATTTTGAAGTATTCTTTATTGTTATTATTATTATTGTTAGAGGATATGACACTGCGACCGTCGGGTCTATTGTGCCCCCTTCTGGGTTAAGAGTATGTCTCTAAGCCCTGTTGCGTCAATAAAAAGTAGTATAGAAACTAATTTACAGAGTTTTATTGTCTCTTCCGTAAGAATATACATTCCCAGGAACCTATACCATATGTGCATTATTCCGCTGTGCATTCTAACAGCACTTGTGTGGCTGACTCATCATTCTCTTCACAGAATCTACAGTTTGCATCCGTAAGTATACCCAGTCTTGTACAGTGGTATTTTAGTTTACAGTGCCCTGTTAGTATTCCTGTAATGTTTCTAAGTTTATCTTTTGATAGGTTCATACAACCCTGGTATCTGTTATTGTTACAGGGACCAATAAGTGATTTGGATTGTTTTAATCCCGGTACATTAACCCAGTTTATTTTTTAATTAATTTTTAATAATTATATCTCAATTTTATTATATATTATTTATACATAAATTTCACATTTTTATTTATTGAAAAAATATTAATTGAAATTCCAATTGACTTGTCGTAAACCGATACATGCAGATTAAAAATTTCGATATCGTCCCGCATGTCTATTTACTTGATGACCCAGTTAATTTGTGTGTTTTATAAATGTATGTGTGTGTATCAACATATGTGATATGTGTGTGTGTGATAGGTTCAATACAAGTACCCATGGCATAACAATTCAAATAGTATTAATACGCATGAAACGTCAGAAAAAAAAAATTACCACAGAAACTACACACATCTCAGAATGGACCAGTTTCGTAGTAACCAATTATGTATGCGGTTAAACTTTGTCGCTCTCCAACTTTTCCCACTCCCACTCCCACTCATAGCATGAGACGATGCTACTACGTATATGGAAACGTGTGACGTAGAATTTGATAAATTATCTGACATTTGTTAAATTTTTAATGCTTAATTGTGCATATTAGATTAAATGTATATAAGTATGTATAAAGCTAATATACTATATGTATTTTATATAATAAAATTTTGCACTTATACTCATACTGTGTTGTTCCTAGAATATACTATATTAGTGCTCATATATATGCACTTACCCGCTCTCTTATTACTGCTGCTCCTATTTCATTTCATTTCATTTGCTCTTTATATTGCTATCTCAGTGCAGCATCCTTTATTTGGTTCATTACAACAACAACAACAAAAGCAAAAACTTAAATATATTTCGTTTGCAAATTTGATTTGACGTACGTAGGCAAAGTCGCAAAAAAAAAAAACAAAAATGAATTATAACAACAAAAGTATCTATATATGTTGTACTCTCGTATTAATCTAAATGGTAAATGTGTAAATGGGTAAATTTGCATGCAGTTATGCGGCCCCTTTCATTACAACTTCGATTTGTTTTAATTTCCGCTGAAGCTGCAAAACACTTCCGGCACTGTGATGAATGGGTACGTTCAGTTAGATTTTCTATGCAAATTTACACTACCACGAACCGAATTATAGTATTTTCTTTTAGGCGTTGTGTTTTTGTTTTTGTTTTTTATTTTTATTTTTATTTTTGTGTTTATTTGTTTTATTTTTATTTTGGTTTATGTTTGAATAAATGATAATGACATTTTTGATGAGACAATGTTTTTTGTTCTTAGACATGCATTTTTATTTTTCACTTCCTTCACACTTTTGCCTATTTTTTCTATTATTTTTTCTTTTCTTTTCTTTTGCAATTTTTACTTAATGTCTTTGAAGATCGTTGACTCGGACACAATAGCGGGCGACTCAAACCCCTACAGTGTGGGCAGGCAGGCAACTAATTGCGATTGCTATGAAATGTTTCTGGTGGAGTAGTGTTTTTTTTTTCTTCCTCTTCTTCTTATTTACTATATGGTTAATGTAGTAATTTTTTGTTTCTTTTTTTTTGTTTTTGTTGGTTAGAATTTTGTAAAAAAATTTTATCGTTGTTGTAATTCGGTGGTCAATAATCGCATTTCTCACATTTATACAAAACCGAAAAGAAAATATAAAACTTATATATAATAATTTTTCACTTATTTTCTTATATGTTTCATTTGCATGTATACGCCGTTTCGTTAGATTTACTACAAAATTTTCAACCTACTCACACACAAAACTAATTAATTTAATATTGCTTTTAATACACTTATTAAGAAATTTCCTTATTGACAAATTGGAAAAAGGCAAATTTTCACTTCAATGTACACAATTTTTGCCTTAAAGTGCAAATTTTTCACTGCAAGAATTTTTACATTTTAATTGATTTTTGAGTTGTGCGCGATTTCTGAGCGTAGGAATGCGTCCGAATGGCAGTGCGGAGCTTTTTCTTATGCCTTCGGTACGTAAAATGGTTCCTATGCCACCATGCAAGCAAATACACGAGATATGAGAAAATATACCGAAACTGGAAAAAAAATAATCGAAAGAATTTTTACTGTTTGTTCTATTTTTTTTTTCACTTTTTCGCTCCACTCGTCCACTCGTTTCAAAAAGGAATTTTCGTTCTTAGATTCGAAACACGGCTTTCCGATAAAATACCGAAAATATTTATTTTTACTCACAACTCACAACTCACAATTGAACGCACTTTACAGAGTGCAGAGTACACTCATTTCTTTTATGAGTTTTATGCTTGTGTGAAGGAGAAAAATCTATATGTGAGCAATTCATATGCTGCTCCGTGCTTCAAGTTCTTCAGTATAATAAAATATCCTGTTTGCTCTGTGTTTAGTAATTGCATTGAGCGCACACAAGCGTGTGTTGGTATTTGAGTGCGAGGGGCGGCAATACACACACACACACACACAGCAACAACACCAAAAACAACTGTGACAAACCACTTGAGTGTAAGAGTTTCGACTCAAAATATGTAGAGCAGCAGCGAACGCGAACACCCTTCGGCAAGTTATTGGGAAAACATTTCAGTTATCAAGAAAAAAAAGGAAAATAACAAAAAGCATGAAGAATTTTTTTTTTTCTGCTTTAACAGTGCAGCACTTTTACATTTTACATTTAAATTCGCTTTTTTTACGTCACGTTTTTAATTTTTTCTTTTAATTTCAGTTCATTTAAATTATAAAAAGCACTCTATTTGTTGTTTAATTTTTTTATAAATTTTATTTCAAGTTAAATACAAAATTTCACTTAAGCTTCCCAGTTTAGATTTCACATTGATGGGCTTCCGTAGTTGCACTACAGACGTGAGAAAGCGAAATGTCGTGTTACATTTAACCGTAAAACTTTGAACTGTTTTTTCCTATTCTCCTTTGAGTCAACGGTATTTTGACATTTGTAAAGGGTTGCATTTTTAAGTACTTTAAATATATTTAGGCCGCGTGTAAGTTCGAGTAAATTGATGGTAAATTAAGGGAAATAGTATATTATGTCGGTATGGCAGCGAGTGTTGATATTTACTAGAATTTCGAGTAGGGTAAATATGATAAAAATTAGGTAAATAAGGTGTTACCATTGTGAAAATTTTAAAAGATGTTTAATAAATAAATTTGACACAAGGTAGCACCCACAAATAAGGTAACACAAAAGTACCACAAAACAGCACACAAAATATAAAGTGACACAAAGCAGCACGCAACACAAAAAATAAAAAGTGCCACAAAGCAGCACACCAACAAAAACTACCATTTTTTGATAGTGGAATTTCTTCACCGTGCAGGAAGGTACTACCGTATGCCTTGTGTATGAAATAGAGTTTACGTGAAATGAACCATGTGAAATTAAACAGACAATAAAAAAATAAAAAATATGAATTAAAATAAGTAATAATTATAATATTATAATGTAGTAAAATATAATCTATGAAATATATTGTGCAAAATATGGTATATATAAATAAAATAAAAAGTAATATAATATAAAATAAAATAAAAAATGAAAAAATAAGAAAAATAAAAAATAAAAACTAAAAAATAGCCAAAATAAAACTAAAGTAAGGGATTGTAAATAAGTTAACATAAAGAATAAAAAATGAATAAGATTCATAATAGGAAAACCTGGGTACCGGTGGCACCTCGAGGTGTGATGAGATCGGAGGCCTAAGCACTCCGTTGTTACGCATCCGACATAAATCAATAACTCGACATGAACGGCACACAAAACACGATTTCTGATGTACGGTTCTTACTTGGGCACAGTAGCAACTACCATAACTGGCCGAACGAATTACAAAATTTAGGCACTTTGTAAAATAAAAGTGCTTCGAGTGAGATGCGAAAAACACGGCCGAGCACTGTACCTAAATGGGGGCGAATAAATCAATGTATTAACTATACAAAGAACTTCCGATCTTTTTATAGTTTATTCACACTGTTTCATAGAAGCACTTGCTCTTTTATATTAATAACTGAACTTCCTTATTATAATGAGCTCATTTATGCAATTGATAGAAACTTTTATAAACTTAACTTAATAATATATCATACAAAAAAATTAAATATATAATTGATATATTAAATCATTTAAATCATTCTCAGTAATTGGGTAAAAAAATTTCTTTGCCTTGATCCCTATGGCTCCCATACATCAAGCATTTTTGTGCAACCTGCACTTTTTAACTGATTCTGAAGTGGTATGTTTGTACCACATCGGGCCATTATAAGCTCAAATGCGCTTCAAATACTAAGACGCCACCTTAACCTTAGGCTTGGTGTGTGATTAATGTTAAGTACCTCCGCTATCTACTAACAGCTTAACTGTTGGTCTTGTTCCTGTTTTCGCAAATAAACAAATTCAATAATAATTTCCAATATTTTCTATTTTAACAATAAAACAATGATTTCTACTAAATGTAAAAGAAAAACGAGGAGTGGGCAAGCGTGTCTACCATGCAATCATTGCAGGCTCCTAAATGTTTCAAAATAATTAAATTTTATCACATCACTCAACTAATCTCTTGTGTTTCGTAACAAATTTTGGGAGTGTGATTAAAGGATAGATCGCCACTTGACAATATAATACTAACATGAAAATTTAATGCAAAAAAAAAATGGTCTAGTTCATGTCCATGGTTAGCTAGCTGCGCCAAAATCATATGATATGTAGAAAGTTGTTTCCTTCAAAAGCATACATAACAAAATTTTATAAAAGTCTATGCAAAACTAAAATACGACGAAAATAAATCAAACAATAATTTATTAAAATAAATATACAAAGCAGTTTCAAGTAATTATAAATATATACTATAATATTTGCAAAGTATGTGAGAATTATAAATTATATTTGTAATTTTTCAAATTTTCGCATATTTCAAATTATTCGAATCATTTTTGTTTAAACTATTCAACACAAATCAAATAACTATACAAATATACTAGCTTCTGATTTATTTATTCTGTATATTATTTATAATTTTATAAATACCTCAAGCCACTAAGACCTAATAAGACTTAAACATAATGGTAAGAAGATTAAATTAATAAAAGAAAAAGATTATTATAAAAAAGCTATTAATTTTTTTCACCTACCACGAAAAAAGGGTAGAGATTAATATTTCTTAAATTTTTATAAATAATTAACACAAATGTGCCATGTAAAGGCAACTTTCACAGTACTAACTTTGGTCTCAATATTAACTTAAGTCTTACTTAAGTCATCGACTTTGCTAACTTAATTTATACTTCAGTCAGCTTTGAAACTTAAGTTACGACTTTGAAATTGGCACCTAGAGAACTACTGTAGATGTGGTAATTCGTTTAGTTGTTGGTAGTGTTTTAATGGCAAAAGTTTACAACTTTTAAGGTCGATATCTTAAGAATCAAGCTCAACCTACGTCAATATATTGCGCAGTAAATAAGAATTGATCAAAATAATTAATAATTTAACAAAAAAAAAACTAATTTATTAAGTTACATACTTAAATTTCTTTTTAACATTGTGAATTAAAGATTAATATTAACATTTAAATAAATTTAATATGCACTTAAAGTTAACACTTTAACATTAGATAGTTATTATGCTTTGTACAGTACAAAAGATTTAATAACAAGCCTATTACAATTATAAATATTGCATACTTTTCAGGTTGCATGAAAATGTTTTTTAAATGTGTATTTGAAAAAATGAATAAAATAAATAATTTATTATTATATTAAAGCTATTTGAGCCAGTGATTTATAAGTAATGAATAGTTAAATTTATAAATGAAAATATTTTTCAATTGAATGATTTAACTCTGATCTTATACAAAAAATATAATTTTTTATTATTAATACATATTTTAAATTTGTTGTTAATTTTCATTAAGTAGTTAAATAGTTTTATAATTAAAATATATATATTTATATTAAAAATTTTAATATTAAATGTTATTAATTAATTATTATTATTAATATTAATTAAAAAAAAAAACTTATTTTTTACTTAGACAGTACAAATTTATTTACAAACGAATTATAAAAATTTCAGAGATACTGTTTTCACTAAAACTGTGTACAGTACAGTGAAATACTAAATACCCCAAGCGGTCAGTAGTTGAAGCATAAACATGAACAAAAGTTTAAGAATAATACAATAAAAAAGGAAATAAATGCGTAATGTATTTAAATAAAATTTATTTTTTAACAACAACCACAAAATTCAGTAATAACAATAACTCTTGTGAATTTAATAAATCATAATCACAAGTTTGCATAAAATTTCCTCATAAGTGCATTTAACAGCAAGATATGTGTCTGCCAAATTTTTGTGCGTACTGTGAACGGTCAGATGTCAAATTCTATTAAGAAAACAGCTGTTCTCAGATTAACTTGGAATAAGTAGGAATTTAGGATTCTTATTATATTAGTAAATAAACACTTTCCAATGAAATAATTACTTTTAATTTGTTAAATGTGTTTTTGTATTGTTGAATGTTTGTAAAAAAATTAGTGTTAGCTTTAAGTCATTTTAGTTTTATTGTTTAAATGCGCAAGTCGCATGACTGTTTGTGCTGCAATTCGTTAGTTCTTCTGGTTGCCTTGGAAACAAAAAATAATAACAAACAACAAGTTACGTTTTTCACTTCACTTCCGGTTCATTTAAATTTTTGTAAGTAAAATTTATTTTTTATATTATAATTTGTGATAAATAATAATAAACTATTTTTTAGATTGTTTAACTTATGTACGAGAACAACATAAATGACCAAAGATAGACCTAGTATTTGGACCAAATAGCTCGGAGCATTAACGCCTTATAACATTTGCCTTATTGTAACGTTCAAAAGAAATTTAAAGAAAATAATGAAACGCATTTAAAAATAAAAAACATTAAATCGCAGTAAATAATTTGGTGAGTGTTTGTGTTTATTTAATTCAGTGTAAATTGCTGACATATGGAAGTTTTTATTTTATATACGAAGGTTTTTTAGACTAAATTATTTAATGAGTTTTAAAAAATAGGTCAATAGGTTATGAAATCCTTCAGTTATATATTTCTCTTTAATACACAAATTATTCAATTATAATAAAAATTATTAAAACAATATGTGAAATCGATTCGTTAATATAAAATGTAAAATATATCTGCAAATATTGTAATTGATGTCCGATCAAAAAACTTAAGAATATAATGGTCCGAAAACAGTGGAGAGGTTCTATATATATTAATTAATTCATAATTATATTACTTTAATTAATTGAATTTTTGGCTGACATACAGCTGTTTTTAGTATTGCCAAATACTATAATATAATAAATTCAAAAATAATAAATTATATTATACATAATGCATACCTAATATGTTAAATACTAACAATTATTCAAAATATTGTAAACATAGTAATATACTACGCATCGCATTCCATCCCACAAGTTACCGATTGCATCCTACAGTAAACGATTTTTATAGCATAAAATCAAATAGACACGACTACAGTTTTCTAGATCACAAATTGAATCACAAATTTCGGTAAAATCGAACATTTAAAAAAACTTTTTCCACTATGCTATATCACACGTTGTTGTTTATCGCTTCAAACTAGAATTCAAATATTTAACTCAAACATTAACATATACATTAAGTCCACTCTCCTATATGGATGTCAATCATGGAACGCTGCGTCATGTGACATCAACAAATATCTACAAAATTTCTACAAATCTCTATTAACCACTCCTTACGCAAAATCGTTAAGATATTCTGGCCAAACACGCTATCGAATGAAAATTCATTGTCCAATACTAATCAAACACCAATCAAGATTGAGATAATAAAAAGCAAGTTGTACTGGTTAGGCCACACTCTACGTAGATCAAACAGTGACACCACAAGAATGGCGACCGAGTGGAACACCATAGATAGCCGAAACAGATGTAGACCGGAGCACAGTTGAAGAAAACAAATGGATACAGAAATGTCACGTATGCAGAAAAGTTGGAGAGAATTGAAGCTATTAGCTGATAACCGTTCTGAATGGAAATATTTTGTTGCAGCCCTTTGTTCCTCTTAGGATTTAAAGGAATTTATATATATATATATATATATACGTTGTTGTTGTAATCCGTGGGGATTTAATATCAGATAACATAAAACGAAGATTTTACAAGACGAATACACGGGTAAGAAAGTGAATGGGTGATTATAGAAGATGGAGGGACGAGAATGAGAAAGAAAGTGTGGATTATGGATGGGTGTGATATAAATTGAAATCAACCCGGGTCCAAATGGAAGAACCTTGCCACTTCAAGGAGGTGGGTCCAAAGGTCGATTGGATAGAGGTTTGTGTGTGTGCAATAGTCTCACAAACGTCGAAGTCTAAGTCCTGGTTTTAATAACCAAGTGCCGTACAACATCCCTCAAAGGGATTACATAAAGCTATATGTTGTTGTCATTGATTCTCGAAATATCAAGGCTTATCAAGCTATTAGCTCGATTAGTTGTTAAGCCTCGTTTGAAAAGTAAATGTAAAATTTTAATATACTAGTTGCCGCTAAAGGATGTGACTATTTTTCTTACTATTGCGAAAAAATTGCAACTTTAAAATCCGATATTAAAAAAATTAAGTTATATCGGCGTGTGTGTGTAAAAACTAAGTTATGTCAGCGTATAATATAGTGGAAAATGTCACTTAGAATAGGCGATCTTATCAAAATCCATCAATATAGGTATCCCAATGTCTAGTACACAGTTGTTCGGTTTTGTTTTACTTGAAACCCAGAACCCTGTTATTTTTTTAGATATCATTTAGCTCTTGATCTGTTTAATATACATACCTAAAGGAACGATTACTAATAGAAATACATGTATGTACATATATGCTTCTATAATAATATATACGAGTATTACCAAGAATATTTTTCAAACATTCATACAAGTGTCTAAACAAAAAGAACATTGTGCATAAAGTACTTCAATGACACATAAGATATGTCCCATCAAGAACTAAATTATTTGAAAAAAGATTTGTTCTATAATAGAATAAATAAAGTAGAATAAAAGTATATAAAAAATACAATAAATCGACGCCTATAAATAAAATTTTTGCATTGTATATATCAATGCACACAAAGAAAAGCTAATTAAAAAATAGGGAAAGTCCCAATTTACCGGATGCCGATTTGATAACGGATTTTGAAGTTGATTTTACAACGATAAATATTAATACTCTGAGCAACTTCTATATGGAAATATACCTAAATTCTAAAATCATTAACTGCAATTATTTTATTATATTATATATTATATTTGTATATGTCACTTCGACGTAGACTCAATTTTTAAATTGTATAATATATATTCTATAATTAATGACTCGGAAAAGATTCAACTATGTTATAGTAGGTTTTTGTAAATGTTGTCGTTCTACTATCCTTACAAAAGATGAAACACCAACTTTTATAAGTAGCAATTCCTCCCCATATCCAAGTATCTCTGGGTTATAGACCTGATAACTCTTGCAATCTTATATGTTTACAGTCCATTACTGAAAGCGGGAGTATGTAAGAAGGTATCCATACAGACAGTATCCATACATTAGATGTTTGGAAGTTCTACCTTAAAAATTATGCTTTAGGTGTGACATCTTATCCGTACTATCACAACAGTGCATTATTTATGCTTAAGTAACCTCTAATGTACATAGCTGACAGTCCAACATTGCGTCAACTATGATCTATGATCAATGACACAAAAAAGTTGCCATCATCTTTTTGTCGCCCTTGTCGTTCCAACCTTGTCCGAAAATGGAACTTAACAACGATCATTGGTCATTCTTATAATCTAATGACTGTTTTGATCCATTTTTTTTTTCGTTTAAATATTAGTATCAGTATTTGATGAGCTCGAATATTGTCTATGCATAATACTGCATCCACAGGTAGATTATTGTATCATACCCTATACATAATTATTGAAGGATTTCTTTTACTCCAGCTGTATTAAGAAAATTCGTGTTAATTTTTCTGATAGTATATGTATTCCACAGGCATTTATGACGTAGATTTCGGTTTGAAATACTAATGCCATTGTAATTAGACTGACGGATATTCAATTCTCGGGGTTGTAGTTGTAGTGTTGGATCCATCTGTATACCAGACAATATCTTTGATAGTGGTACTGAATTTTTAATTTTCTTATCTCATTCAGTCTGATATAATCGTAATGTATTTCTTGTTGCTTGTGTGTTTTGGGATCGTGTGATCTAAAAACATCGCAAAACCTCTAGATTGTTTTAATTTGGCCAACATGGATAAGTCTCCATTACTCTACAATCGTATTCTGCTCAGTAAACCGTTGTAATAAAGTCTATATATGCTAATGAATGCAATCATCTGCCATCTAAGACTTAGCGGGAGTATTCCTAATGAGATATGCTATTTCGTATTCCTTAGTTTATATTACGGGTACTCATCTGAACTGATAAATGCCTTATAAACCTATAAACGCATAAAATTATACATTTGTTAAATTCATATGCCTAGATGACTAGATAATAGAGGATCTAGTCAAAATACTATATTGGTTTTTGAGAACTAAGCATGACATTAAGAAGAACTTCATCCTTATTTCTTTTAAAGTAATAAATTCTCATAAGCAAAGAGAGTAATTATTTAGTTTATTACGATTAATCGAAAACTACTGAACGGTCCACCTTAGTTAATTATTTCAGCTATTAAAAATCAAATAAAATGTGATGGAATAATTGCTACTTATTCCAGTCAATGAACTGAATTTTATTACAGAGGAACACATCAACAAATTGCCGATAATCGGGTTGACAACAATGGGTGTACGTTCTTATAAATATGTACGTCTAATATGAGCAGTACTGGCACACGAGATATGAACAAGCATAAGCACTTGATTGCCTCATGTATCTATTTTGACATTTTTGACGCAAACTTGTCTTATGGACGTATGGATGAAGAGCAATTCATGGAATTTCATATAAAAATTTTGGAATAAAAATTTTTTTCGATTATTAGTACGCGAAGGTGAAAACCGTTTTCCTATTTGAAGAAGAAAATCAGCGAAGCGCAAAGTGACAAGGGGCACAAGCATAAAAAGACATGCAGTAAACTCAATGAACGCGATATGTTTACACCTGGCGTGACACCAGCACTAGCACCAGCACCGACGACTGTGACGTTGACTATCCGAACGACAACCAACAGCAATGTTAGCAACAGCAGCCGCCGCCGCCGCCGCATCGATGATGGTGGTTGGGCACACTCCAAACCCTACACAGAAAAAAATTTTATTTACAAATGACGTAGCACATGTTGCCATTGTGAGGGGGTGAAATCAGCTTAGTGTTGTTGTTATTGTTATTGTTGTTGTTGTTTTTGTTGAGTTGTTAATATAAAAAAATATTACTAATAAAATAAACAAGTTGATAAAAAGGTACATAAATATTGGAATATGCATGATAATTTCATACTTTAGCACACCGCGCCTTTCCTCTTCTAATTCAGTTTAATTTTTGCTCAGTTGAACAGTTCTGAGGCAACTTGGGAATCCGGGGAGTCCCAACTTTTCGCTTTTAGTTTATTTTTCACAAATGCGATTTATATGAAAAAAAAACTAATAATCGTGTAAATGTTAAAAAAGTTAAGAGTTTTTAGCTGAAATAATTTTATTTCAAAAATAAAAATAAAGAAATCCAAATAAATCTGTAATTTAAAATATTTGATTGCTGCTCTGGCGGAGGAAATAAATTTGAAGAAAAGTTTTTCTGTTTGATCATCTCGCTAATTCCCTGGCCTTTGTGTGTAACTTATTAAAAACTTTTAATTGCTTTTCAGAAAAGTTTTATTACTAAATACCAAAAATATTTTTTTTAATTTTATAAT